ATGTATATATATATATATATATATATATATATGCATAAGGGTACTATGATAGCTTCACGTATTTCAGGAAGATAACTAGCAAGGGAATGTCTGGGTTGAATATAAATTGTGGTGCTGTTTTCTACAGAGGCTCCTACCTTATTTCACAGTGGTGGTACCAGTTTCCTCCCCACCAACAAGAAAGCAGAGTTCCTTTTTCGTGCCGGACCTACTAGCGTTTGCTATTATTTGATATCTTGAATATACCTATTCTTTCTGCAGTGAGATTTGCCTTTCATGAGTGGCATGAAATGCTAAACATTTTTTCAGCAATTTATTGGCCATTTTTTTACTGCATCTCAGAAGTTTCCATTCATTTAGATGACCATTTCTTGAACAGTTATTAATTTAGGGACCTAGTTTTTCTCTAATATTTAATATCCTTTGGATATTTGTGATCTGTCTGAGGAGGACTACATGACAAAATGGTCTTCCAATTCCGTGTGCTGTTGTTCAGTTTGTTGATTGTTTCCTCTGTGGTGCAAAAGCTTTCTAATTTAAGTTGACCCCATTTGTGTTTTTGTGGCAGTATTTCTCAGGCAACTGGTGTTCTTTTCAGGAAGTTGTTGTCTGCACATTTGCCTTTTTGAGTTTTATCTAATTTGTCTTCCAACAGAATGTGTTTCCATTTATTATTTCGATCTCTGATTCATTTTCATTTTATTGCAGTGCATGGTGAGAGGCAGGGTTGCAGGTTCTGCTTTCGATATTTGTGTAGCCAGTTTTCACTTTACCATTTGCCAAAGAATCTACATTTTACATCTGCTCCCACAGAAGTATTTGGTCTCCTTGTCAAAACAAAGATTGTTGTGTTGCCTGGAGTTGCTTCTGTATCTTGCATTGCATTCTGTTGATCCAAAGGTCTGTTCTTTTGCCCATATCACGCTACTTTTATCAGTAGAAGCTTGTAGTGTAACTTCAAGCCAGTGTTGTGATGACTCTGTCTTGCTATTGTTTCAGGGGATTGATTTTCTTCTTCTGGCTCTCTTCTGATTCCATACGAATTTTACAGTTGGTTTCTCTTGTTCTTTGTAGCATGCTGTTTATGTTTTGATTGGAATTGCATCACTTCTGTGTAGCCAGAAGTGCCACTCAGAAACCATGCACCCTGGTCCCAGCAGTATCGTGCTGCTGGCCAGCCATGCCTCCTAGTCTTGTCCTTGGGAGCTTAGGAGTTTCAAGTCTGCTTCTGGCTTTATGCAACACTCACCTCCTGAATTGCTTCTGTCCCTCAGGGTTGCTGTGCCCCTTGCATGTTGTTGTAAGAAAAAAAACTGAAGATGTGGAAAAGAAAAAAGAAATAGGGCATCCCAAAAGATGTATGATTAGATGTGAGGGAGTCTGTGCCTGCTGTGACCAACTATTCATGGTGGGTAGAATCTGGGTAAAGAACCATATTTCTGTCCCTGACAACTTCTCTTCCACAGGGATAAATGATTTCAGTGATTTCATCTTCACCAAAATCTAGCCTTGGGCATGCCATGATCTCTATGACAATGAGGCCTAAAACCCCTCCCATTCCAGTGACAAGGGCAACTCAGCGCAGATGCAGGTGTAAGTTCAAAGAAATTTCAAGGAATTTTCTATTCAAAGAAATGGCAAAGAAAGGTGTATATCCTGATATTACTAGCGTAAACTTTCTTCCCAAAGTAAATGGTTGAAAACTCCCAGATTCAGCACTGGAATAAAATGAAAAAGGCACTTGAGGACACTGATAGTTTCTCTGCACAGAGAAATACTTGCACTGCCAGTCATCTGATCACTTGCTTAACACAGCAATATCACTAGCCAGATCCTCAGGTCTAACTTGTAAGAGTGTTTGAGGCACAGTGGACTCACGAGGAGAAGGTGTCCCCACAAAAGCAGTCAAGTGGGCACTCCAAGACCGTGGAAAATGGAAACTTCCATCAGAGAGCAGAGCACCTGGCCAAGGACTTTATGAACTCAGTGTACCTGAGAGTCATGCTTATCTCTCAGGAAATCCCTGCAGATGAGAGCATGAGTTCCCTTGTTCTTACCGTGCAGAGGACCACTCTTCTCATCTTTGTTCCAGGTGAGAGCTTCTCTTGTCATCACCCACCTTCTAAGGCTCCATCTGACGGTCTTGCCCTGGCTAGCAAGGAGCTGCATTAAAAATCAACTCCAGCAGAATCAACTGCAGTTACCCAAACCCAACCTGTCCTAGCTCTGCACGCACACATGGCTGCTCTCTGTTAGATTCCACCCCTCAGTGCTCTGCTACCTTCCTTTAAATTCCTTGAGGACATCTCTCTATCTCCTTACACGGGGGTAGTGTTGGACTCCATCATCCTATGGGATCGCTTTGACCCTGCTCAGTCTAGTGTGTTCCTGTCTCTACCACAGACACTGGGCCTTATCAAGGGCACAAGTGCAATAAGTGTTTGGGGTCCAGGGGCCTGTGAGATTTATTGACAGTAAATTTCCCCAGGATAATTGAAACCGAGCAAATTCAAGTATACATATATCTTTAATAGTGTACAAAAATTGAACAAAAGAATCTGAGAACAGATTTTTATCCTTATGTGTATTTCTAGGCTTCATCTAACTTCATACAAACTTATACCTTTCCAAGGAAATTCCTATTGTAATTGTATTTTATCAGAAATAAAATGTACTACTCCCTTGTTTAAGAAAACAGGAAAGGCACTTATATTTAGATGGGAAAATAAAATACATTTTTTAACAATATCACAAAATAGTATTCATGTCAGAAATCACAATTAAACAACAATAAAAAATTAAAAATTCGTGTGAGATCAGCATCATTTATCAAGTAAAATTTACAAGCTACTTCAATCTCTCTTAAGAAATATCAAGACTCTGAAAAGTCATGAAGAAATCACATATGCATTAACTAGTGACCCAATCAGAAAACATCAAGATGGCGTGCACTGTATTCACTCCTTCCCCTTTTACTTCACTGCTTAGAAAACTGCCCAGTTTCCAGAAACACTAACTGACATTGAGCTTCATTTAACAAAGGGTGGAATTTAAGCACTGACAGGGTTGGGGAACAGTTCCTGTCACTGTCACTCATCTTGCCCCGCAGGGGCCCTGAAAATACTGTTTTCCTTTCTCAAAAGCTGCGCATGTAGCTGTGGGTAAGACCTGGAATCCATCTTATCAAGGTTGAACACATGCTCTAGGATTTTCACCTGGGTGGTTTCAGCGTGGGCCCTTGGACCCCACAGGAACTCATAGCGAGCAGGATCACTGTTCGGAACCTGCTGGTACACCAGGTATTCTTCCTGAACCAAATCCTCAGTGATGAATTTCCAGGGATCCCCAATAACAGCGTGGTCCCTCTCATCTAATAACTTCCTGTTTCTCAGTAGTTCTCTTAGGTCCTCCTCACTGAGCCTGCTGCCCTTTACCGTGATTATACTCAGGATGAGTATCAGGAGGTCCGCTTTAGGAATGGCCTGGACCTCGTTATCTAGGAGCCCATTATAAGTGAGGCCCAAGATGGGCACAAGCTCATATGTGTGCCCAGGGGCATCCACTTTCCTCATCTCAATGCCAACGCTCAGGCACATGCACTCACAGAGTTCCCTAAAGAGCTGAGGGTAGTGCGCATGGTAATCATACCCCACAATGTGCACCATTTCTTCCATGGTGACCTGCTCCTTCTTTTGATACTTCTGGAGCAGGAATGGCAGCAATTTATCTAACCTGTCATTTAGGAGCTCATCCTGCGTGACCTGAGAGGCATCCTCACCCTGGGAGGAGCTCGCAGCCCCCTCTCCTTGCGTGCTGGAGCCCTCACAGCCCTGGCTCCTTGGAGTGGAACCCCAGGCAGTGGGGGGAGAAGAGGTTCCCTGAGGATTCTGAGGAAACTTTGGTGCCCCAGACCCAGGCTGTTCTCTTGCTGTGGGCCCCACTGAAGCATAGGAGGAAGAGGAGGAAGAGGAGGAAGAGGAATCATTGGCTGCTGCTTCATTCTTCTCATCCTTGAGGACCTGCACACGCATGCGGACCCTTTTGTGGCTTTGAGCAGGACGGCTTCTCCCGAGCTTTTTGTCTTGGCTCCCACGACCACGAGGCATCTTGGTGTTGTGAGTGGATAGCAAGAGCTTGATGTTGAAGACTCAGATGCCTGGAGGAGAGAGGGAGGCTATTAGTGTTCTCAGCTGAGCACAGCACACTTCTTACCTTCCACAAAAACTCATTGTTTCTCTTCCCTTGGGAGGTGCTTTAGGGTTTCAGAGGCTCCTGTCCTCCTGAGGCCCTGTCCCCGAGATGCAGGGGCATGAAGTGAGGCTGCTTCTCAGGCTGCAGTTGAACTAGAGAGCACAAGGGGCTAGGGAAGAGGGTAAGGCACATGCAGCCTGGGGACTATGATGTGTTCTGCTCTGGAGCAGGTTGAATCCTAGGAACCCATCAGGGCATGCACCTCACCTTGACTCCTGACACCACCTGGGTCTCCTCTGCTGTGTGAGCTGGACACTGCTTCAAAACAAGATCTTTCTGCTTGCTTCCTGGAGCTCCTGTAAGAAGTGGGGGGCCCTCAGGCTGCAGACCTTAAGCACAGTCTTGCTCCCCCTGACCTCATAGGAGGAGTGGACTTGACTTGTGAGTTCCCACTCTTCTGGTGGATGGTCATCTCTGCTCACTCAAGGTGCTCAACTGGCCTTAAGCAGGGCCCTGGTTTCCAGTCCTCTGCTTGCCTGAGTCAAACTCTTAGAAAATGTCTCTGTCCCTGAGAGGGAGCAAAAGTCTGTGAGGGGATGCACATCTGGACACAGCCGCCTGGAGGCAAGAGCTGGAGGTGAGTGAGTTCCGTGTGTTCCATGTACTCTGGGAAAGGGAACTTTCTCCATCCTCATTTCCAGTTAGGTCTGGGGATTCCCCTGGGAGAGTCAGGTGCCCCCCTCTTGAAATCACAGGCCTATCTCTCTGAGCCATTCCAAGAGGGAGAGAGGGGATTCCCCTCCACCTCTTTCCATGGTCTGAGGACAGGGGACAAAGAGACAGGTGGAGACTATCACGCTGTGTGTTGACCAGAGGGGCTTCACTTTGCCCAAACCTAGACTCCTGACAGGGCTCAGCATCCTCTTTCTGCCCTCCTTGCCCCATCTCCCTCCTACCAAGGCCTTCAGCTTCCTGATATCTACAGCGCAGAAGTACGAGAGTATCCTGAGCCTGACAACCCTGCCGAGTCTTCCCCAGATGACCAAAGAAGCAAGGTAACATCTGTGGAGCATCCACATGTCTGTGTTCAGGTCAGAAGAACTGTAAATGCATCATCAGTGTCCTCATCTTGACTCTCGGTGATCCTGGGACACCTGTGTCCCTGACCAGATGGGGCTCCCTGAGGACAGCCTGCACACAGTCTCAGAGCTAGACTGTCACCTGCATGAGGTCCTGAAGAATCTCAGATAAGTGAGCAGATGGCCATGCTGTCATCTCCACATGGGGCTATCAGTGCTGACAGCGAGACCTGTGCACATCTCACTGGGACCCTGGTTATGGTCTAGATCTCCTCTATAGGACACATGGGCACGTAGGGAGGACCTTTGCAAGGTGTCTGCAGTATGTGACTTACCGCTCCCTTGTTTTCAGGTACTGGCCACTGCTAAGAAAAGGAAAGTCACTGAGTGTGACAGGGACTTTCTGTGTAGTGACCTGGCTCTTCCTTTCAACTTCTGCTACCTGGAGGACTTGTGCTGAGCAGGTTTCCTCATGCCAGGCCCTTCCACTCTACTATTCTGCCTTGTGCCTGGTTGACTGTCTAGTGACAACCCTATAAACTGTGAGCCCAAGGCAACTTTTCTTCCAATAAACGGCAGATGTTAAGTATTGTGTCTCAACAATGAGAGCAGAAGTAAGGTACCCTATGTGCTTCTGAAGTTTCTTAGTTATCCTCGTGTTGCTGCCTGCACTCCCTCAACCCCATCCCACCCAAGGTGAACTGATCTCTCCTTTGGAGACCAAGAATTCATCACTATGATGACTTCCTTCCTACCTGTGGCAGAAGAGTGCACGCAACAAGATTCACCCACAGCTGACCCCAGGAGCAGGATTGTGGGGTCTAGGGTTTCTGGACAGAAGACCCCTATCATCCTCAGGAAGTGCACACAGCTTGCACTGTCCAGTTCTTGAGGTCCTACTTCTGCTGACTAGGGGCTGGAGATTTAGCTCAGTGGCACAACACCTGCCTGGCAAGTGCAAGGTCATGAGTTCAATTCCCAGTACCGGAAAAAAAAAAAACAACTACTTCTGCTGACTATATGAAGATCCCTCTACTGAACTGTATCATCTCTTGGACAATCATCCTCACCTTCTTGAGTATTCCTATCCCCAATTGTTAGCATAAATGACAACGATTCACATAAAGCCACTCTCACTGGAATACTGGAGTGAGAACAGTGGAACCAGGTTCTGTATAGGACCTTCTTTATAGGAATGAGGGTTACCTTCAGGTGTTCTGTGCTAGAAAATGAAGGAGTCGTGAGCAGCTGCAGTTCAACTGCCCACAGAGTCAGAATCCAGACTCTGAACCATAACAACCTGAGCCGGGAAAATAAAAGAGAAATTGAGAGAAGGAGCCAAGGTATTAGGAGGGAAGTGAGGCGAACACTGAAACATTCAGTGAGGCTGAAGAGATAGAGTATAATGTGGACGGGGTTCACAACAGTCTGGGCATTCTTCCTGTGTGATGGCTCATATCAAATATTTGTAGAAGCAAAGAGAAACCTGCAGGCTGCGTAGGGTCCTAGGGAGAAGGTCTAGATTTGTCAACTGGAGGTTGCTGACATCTGCAGGGACAGTGTAGAGTTGAGCTGGACAGGTAAAGGAGGGTGATTTTCCTGAATACTGATGCTGCCCTAGCTCTGGGGAGAGTGTGAGTTTGGCAGCCATTGGAGCAAAGGCTTATTTGTTTGAGCCTGGGACTCAGAACTGGGATGGCTTCGCCTCAGTGCTTCTGCTCACAGCGAATATGTGAGTGCCAGCAACAGGGAACAGCTTTGCATGGGACGCAGACTGGAAAAAGACCCCTGAGGGGTTGGATTAGGTTGGAAGACAGAGCCCTGCCACACCCAACACAAGGCCGGGCCCAGCCTGAGTTGCTCTGGATTTGAAAGTCTCAGACTGGGATATTCAAGCACTTGCCCTTCTGCTGCCTGCAGCAGGTATCTGGGGTCTCACCGCCTTCCTTATCTATGAATGTGAGCCACAGCACATCAGGACTTGGACCAAGCACAGTCTAGGAAAAAATAGGGGGTCTCAGAAAATGGAGAACTGCAAGACTCCAAAATTCCACATCCAGAAAGGAATCTACTGATTGAGCATCACCAAAAATTATTTTCTTTTCTTCTTGTTTCTTTTTTTTTTTTCATTCTGATCTGTTTTCCTTTAAATGTTTCTTTTCATGTATTTTTAAAATTTTATTATCCATAAAATTTCTAATATTTTCTCCTTTAAGGGTAATGACTTCCAGTTCTCTTGGTTTCTTATTTCTCTTGCCTTTACTAATTTTATAGACATCCTCTAGTCACTGTTAGGATCACTTGTGCCATAGTATTTTCCTGTTGCTCAGATGCTCATGTTTAATTTTTAAACTTTTTCTTTTGTTATTCCCCCTTCTGCAACTAGACATATCTTTAATTGTATAACCATTAAGCTTTAATAATATGCAGATAGTTAATTGTATAAAACTTCTACAAAATTCTTTCTATCAGTAGCAGAGCCACAGCTGTCACATGTAGTATATAATAGCTGTTTACCAATATCTGGTTTTTCATAGTGTTTACACTACAGTTGTGGATTATTTTTTTCCTGGTTAATAATGATACCTAATTGGTTTCTATGGTATATTAATGTGCAGTTTGTCTCAGACAGTATCACAGTAAGTGATTTGCTTGAAATTGCCAGCGTCCCATAAATGTTGGCGTTAATGGGTTTTGTTTGTACACCAAACCAAGACGAGCTTTTTAGACATTAGCAATACTTCAGTATGTGTTGGGAACTTGGTGTTAGGTCAGTTACTCTCCATATGCCCCTTCCAAATAGAGATAAGTGGTTGGATTTTAAGAGTCAGTGAAAGGACTATAATCAGCCTTGCACAAATTATATCATTGTAAAGCAGACTAACTAATCAGATCTCTATGCTGGCAACAAAGTCTTTTCACTGTAAGTGCCACAAACTTTAACACAGAACAAAACAAATAAAAAGCAACAGAAACACTAGAAGACAAGTCAACAAAATGACAGCCAAATCTCCCAACTCAGCCAAAGCCAATCCAAGGAGGGTTGAGAAGGAGAATAGTATAAACAACACACCCAAATTACTTGGAAACATAACAGAAGAAGTTAGAAAATAAATCTAGTAACTGTTCAGCATAATCTCAGAAGATATAATGAAACAGTTAGTGGATGTAACAACTGAAATTATCAAGGAGCTTTCAGAACACAACAACAACGAGGTAGTTCAGTTAAACAGTAGAAAACATGCACGGACGTTGAGCCAAATAGTAGAGTCCATGAAAGAATAATCATCTTGTGAGAGATTAAAAATTGAATAGAAACTGTGGGCAAGAGAAACAACAAATGTGAGGACAGAATTTCAGAATTAGAAGATATGGAAGCTCTCCATGAAAAAGTACTCAAAGACACATTTAAAGCCCCAAGAAAACATCAAAAGTGGATGCAAAAACCACTAGATGAACCAACAAAGACCAAATGCAGAATGATACAAACATGAAAAATCAGAAGATACTACAAATGGAAGAAAAATGACACAAAAATAATAGCAGACAATTTCCAAACGCAAGTAAAGAAATAAACATAGAGTTAATTATGGCATGTACAACAACAAATACCCAAGACCAAAGGAGAACCTCTCCACATAGCATCATTTTCCAAACAGCACATGTCCCAAATAAGAAGAAAATCTTAAAAATTGGAACAAAAATGAATAATATAAGGGTACACTGACTAGAATAACTGAACACAAACCTTAAGCGCCAGGAAGGCTAGGAGTGAAGTGTTTAGAGTCCTAACGCATAACAATATCCAGCATAGATACATATGTCTTGCAAAACTT